TTTTAATTCCTTTCTGAATATTTTCCATTTCAAGTTCTTCTTCAAGCTTTTCTTCCTATTCTTTGTTACCCATTTTGATTTCGGTATTCTTTAGAATTTCAATCTCAATGGTTGGTTGAACTTCTATGTTCTCATTTGAGAAAGTATTCTTATTTAAGGTTAAATTTCCTATTATGGAGTTCATGGACTCACCCTTGATCTGAAAAGTTTGAGGGATATGTGGGGATGGACTATTTGTGGTAGTGTCTTATTCTAAGATACGTCTGATCTTTTCTTCCAGGAAGGGTACCATAAGGTTTTCTTTTTTTCCATGATCTTGTTTTTATAGATATAGACTATGTTATTTAAGGACATCAGCTTTAATGAATGTAGTTGGATCTATATTTAGGATCTTTGCAAGAATACTATCAAGTATTGAGTATTCTATTGGTTCTAAAGTCAGATTGACCTTGTCTTGTATAGTGAGAGTATTGAAAATAATTTGTATAGCCCATGCTTCTTTCCTCTGGTTATGCTATTCAGCTATTTTGACTATTGTATCAAAGATATGAAGCTCTCTCTTCTTTGCAATTTGTATAATTTTCTATTTCTTTATCATATTGGTTATATGTAAGGAAAATAAATTGCTGATTTGTTATTTAGTTTTTTTTTTTTTGTTTGTTTATATTAAGCAAGGTTTGCAGGGTTGCTTATTTGTTGTTTTGTTTGGAATGTTGTTTACTTGGATGAGTTGTTAATTCTTCCTGTTTTAATCCACTTGTTTACTGAAATAGTTGTTGATCTTCTTTATTGTGAAAGATAGATCATTTATTTGTAGATACTTGTTAAACCTTGCTATATTGTTTTGATATTAACTTATTTGATGCATACGTGTTCACATAACTTGTTTTATTGTTTAGACCGGTGTGTATGAAATCAGGGTACTCTACTGTTTAGTCTTTGGGAGCCTTTGATGTCCTTCTAAGCTTTATGAACTTTGAGTTTTTTCTGATTTATCAGTAAAAACTATTGTTAATGAAGTTCTTTCTAATGCCTAGAAAGATGTAAACTGATACTGTTCTGATTAGAAGCTTGGGAAGTTGATATTGGGTTCTCCTAAGCTTACTGTAAATAAAATTGTAGATGTGTATTCCTTCCCTTGTAAAATAAAATAAAGTAAAGCTATGGTGATATTGTGCTACTTATACTTCTCTTGATAAGTAGAGTGATCATTTGAGAAAATGGTTGAATGTTGTAGTTTGTTGTTAAGTCTCAAATCTTTAAGGGATAAAGTGTTTTAAACTGACTTTTCTTTTTCAAGAAAATTATCAAAAAAGGAAATTTTTAAGGAAAAAAGGGATTAATGGAAAGAGTTTTTTTTTTTATCTTATATATACTATATATTTTTATATATATATAGATTAATAATAACCTATCACAATTTGTCTTAATTAGACCTATTACCACTCCATAAATGAATACACCTAACTAGAGACTAAATAGTTAATACATAGTTATAAATATTAATACTAGACTAGTTAGTAATAAGTTACAATTCAATTATAAATACTAAACTAGTTCTTTTTTTATATATACTTAGTGAAATTGTATATTCTTTAATATTTCAGATATTATTCATTCAAATCTTGGAAAAAAGCATGTCATCTTCTTTGTTATCACCTATAATATTTTGTCAGTTCCTATTAATTGACTTTCAATTAAGCAGAATATCAAATTGAGATATCCTAAACTAGGAGAGTAAGGATCTTAAAGACTATCAAGGCAGAAGGAATTATATAATATTCAGATGATTACTGCAGTCCTACAAACAGGGTCTTGAAATTTAATTTTCTGTTTGGTTCAAAAAGGTATTTAGGCATAAACTGTGTAATCAAACTAGAGATTTTTCTTTATGCAATTCTCGTGATAGATCTATTTTAGTTTAGTGATCAATAAGAAGACCAGAAGTTTTATTCTTGTACAATCTAATTATTTTTCTCCTATGGTCCTCATGTAGTATAAACTCTGGATCTTGTAATTGTGACTTGGAAGCACTACTACTGTATTATAGATCTACAGATATTAATGTCACATTTTTATTAAATTGTCAATAAATAATTTTGTGCTAAACTTTTATTGAATTGTTAATAAATTTTTATCAAATAGTTAATAAATTATTTGATAAATTATTAATGAATTTTTTGATAAATCAATTTGATTAAAAAAAAATCGGGATTTTTTTTTTTTTTTAGAAATCTCTATAAGTCTTTTTATAAAAAAAAGAAATCAAGAATTGTGTGTTATATTACCAGTCAATATTTTCTCAACATTTAGCTAATTTCGTAGGAAGGGGATTTTAAATATCAGTTAAAAGAAAAAAGCATTAACATAAAATTCTCATATACTTATAAAGTTTTCTCTCTCAATTATCTATGAAAACTTAAAAAAGCTTAAAAAAGTCAGTTCTAATGAATATTCAAGTGAAAATGGCTAGCCAAAAAAGATTGATGGAGTTTTTTTACAAGCACTTGGACAATACATTTATAGAGATAATTTACTGTTAACACAAAATCTTGTAGTTAAATTGCTAGAAAAAGGTATAAAGGTGTCATATTAGACTATTTAATAATATTTGAAGGAGGTTAGATATTTGAAATGCCTTTCATGAGCCACTCCTATGCTTATTGAATACATGAACAAAATTAAATATTGTGAGTATAAAAGTATCTCAATAATATATGGGAGCAAACTTTTTTTTTCAATGAAACAGTATTTAAACTTTACTGAAATACTATTAAATATTGATATAAGAATACATAACCAATTTGTTATATACTGAAAAGTTGAATAAAGATTTTAGTTTGGGGAGGTTCTATATTAAGGAAAAATCAACTTTATTTTTTTTCAACAGATCATAAATACTAGTTTTTATATGGGAATTCTTTGAAAATATGTTTCAGAGATTAAAAAAATGCTTGGTGATAAGTGATGCTTCCAGCAAAATAATGACTTGAAGCATACGAATCACTTGATGAAAGCTTTTATTAGTAAAAATATATTAGATATTATTGACTAGCTATCAAGTAATCCTAATTTGAATCCCATAGAAAATCTAAAAGATATTATTAAAGATAATATGAAGAAATATTTATCAAAAAATTAAAATAAGTTAAAATGGTATATGAATAAGAAATGAAAGAAAATATCAAAATCTATTCTAATGGGATTGATTCAATTAATGAAGAGATATTGCAAACTAATTATAAAAAATAAGAGGAAATATATTTCATATTAAACTTTATTTTTTAAAAATATATTTATTAAACTATATGTAAATAAAAGCTCACATAATTCTATTTATAGCTAAATAATATAGTTGCTAATTTATTTATATTATTTTTTTACCAAATATTATATGAAAGCCAATATACTATATAATTTTTTTTTGACTAATAAGATTAAAGTCTTTATAAATTAATTTATAATTATATATATATATATATATAATTAAGACTATTAAAAAATATTTTGTAGTAGTAATCTATAGGCAATGAAATTAGTAGTTGGAAGGATTTTCACCTGAGCTACTAATGGGGTGATAAATCACTTTTGAAGTTGCACTTAAAGTGGTAATAACCAAAACAAGTGAACTATTTAAGGATTTAGCTTTATCAATTTATTTTATATGTATAGTATACTAATGTTTAATAAAGTACATATAATTAACCTAACAGAGGATAAAAAAAAAAAAAAAAAAAAAAAAAAAAAAAAAAAAAAAAAAAAATTCAAAAAAAAAAAATTTTTTAAAAAAAAAAAAAAAAAAAAAAACAAACAAAAAAACAAAAAAAAAAATCACTCTATGGCAGACCAACAAACAACTCAAATTTCGTCCAAGGAAGTTCTCGTATTAAAACTCTTCTGCATCCCGGCTGTTGATCGCATCATTTAAAAAATAAAAATGCGCAAACATCTAAAGGGCCGTGTGCGGATTATGATAAGGCAAGGGTCGACTCGAAAGTGTTCTTCGCCTTGCTTTTCTCCGTTACGGTTGTTAGGACGCCAGTTTTGATCTTTTATTTAAGAGAGGGAACATCACCTTTTTTTTATTTACAAGTTCTTTCCCCCAGATCAAAAACGACGTCCTATTCTCCACTTTTTTTTCTTTCCTAAAAAAAAGAACATTTTTTGCTGTCCCCTCCCCCCTTTATATATAATATACCTGAAGGAATCACATATAAATATCTCTGAAAATTCATTATTTATCCCCTTTTTTTTCTTTATATTATCTTTAAGAATCCCAAATGGTACTTATCGCGCGTGGGGAAAAGAAATTATTATCTTTGGAAGGGATGTTTTTTCTTCTTTTTTTTTTGACTCATCAATGGGCTTATTCGTTTTCATTTCGGTTCTCCTTTTTTTTATTTCCAATTTTTTTTTGGTATTCTCGTGCCTTTGAAAGTTGAGGATGAGGATGATGGTTAAAGAGGCGAATACGATTTCGTCGCCTGAATAAATCTTGACCATCTTTCGATCATCTGAAGGCGAGAACACAAGCTTACGTTTATGAGGTGCCAAAGATTCGTTAGGTTTTATGTGTATTGAGAATTTTTTTTTTTTTTGTCCTAGAATTCAATGGCAATATAAGAATAAGATGTTGGGTAGATGACGGCGTTGAAGAATAGTGTAGTATCGAATTTTTATTTCGTATATATATGCGTATATAGGCAATAATTCACTCGTCCGATGTATATATATATATGTTTAAAAATAAAAAAAAAAAATATTCTCGTTCTCGTCATTAATCCTACAAAGTAAACGACATGCTTTTTTTTTTTTTTAAGTCAGTAAATTGACGTGTTTTTACCGAAATGATGCGCGGTACGGTGTTAAATGATTGACGACGGATAAACATAAACTGAACCTTTTAACAGTTACGTAGCACAGATGATGGCCAATGATATTGAATGATGGCGACTTGAACAATATTTCTTTTTTCTTAAGCTCACGAGCATTACGAAAGAATGAATCCACCCACTTTGCCGACCGAAGAGGTCATACCGTTGATTATGAGGTCAGTGGCATGCGCGTCTCAGATTGGGGAGTGTGTTGCAGGATGCATTTGATTTCAAATGGAAAGTTATAAAATGTTTTTTTCATATAGAAACTTGTGTCGATTTTTTTCTGTGTGAAGTACTTGTGTTTTTATTTTTAAATTGTAAAAAAAAAAGAAGAATGGTAATGTCCAGAAAACTTGAGATCAATTACCACGAAATGTCAAACGACAGTTTTCGTTTTCACGATTAAAACAGTTCTTTTCCGATCTCATCATTGTCGTAACACTTTTTTTTCTTTCTTCTCTCTTTCCATCCCCAGTCAATTGTGTGAGTATGGTTACACGCAACTGGCTCAAGTAGTCGCCGAGCAGACGGACACCCCCGTGGATCTGACGCCCAGTTCAAAATTGGCAGAATTACTTTACATCGCAAAGGAGCAAGGTCCATACTTGTCACACGTTTCGCTTCTTTGTTCGGTCGCTTTGTTTTCGCTAATGCAACCCGGAAAAATTCAGACGATGAGGGAGACGAAATGAGACCGTGTGAGAAAATTAAGTAGGGCGTGTAAGGCGTGTACGGAGAATTCAGAATGTCTTCAACCACTAGAGGTTCACTTGTG